TTAAACACCCTTTTATACTTATCACTCGCTAAGGGGAAGGTGAGAAAAACGTTGTGAGCTGTTATGCAAAATGTTCATAGTCTTAAATACTACACTGACAGCAACCAAAAGAAGGATTTCATTTCTCAATGGATACAGATGTAAGAGAAAAAGTTATTATTATTTTCAATGGTGCAGAGATGACGACATCATATTAATGCCATCAGTTATTTTTTAGGATAAACGTTATTTCAAACATTTGTACCAAGGTTAAATGTCCTTCTGATTTAAGCGTATCTCAGCAGTTGATCTGAGCTTTTACTTCCTGTTTTACAAGTCCAGCTAAAACAACTCTGGATACAACACTTTACACGCTACCTGATGGTGCCGCTTTAGTCCAACGACTACCTCCCAAAAATACCACAATTGTCAGACGTCATCTTGAAGTTGCTCTGTGAAAATACACTAGTTTCCAGTTGAAAACAGGAGCAAACCAGGGCAGAATTATTCAAGAGCTGGAATAATATCGCAGAAAATTGTCCAACTTGACGATAGGATGATGAGAACGTAGTCGAATGCTGTAGATCATTTTGTCAGCATCCACTTCTGAACGCAATCCAAAGAAGCATTAATATCAAAAAGTGTTTTTTCTTTAAGTGGTCTTCAGCATTTTCTCTATGTTGACATGGATATGTGAAATCTATTTTAAATTAGAAGTAAATTAAAGTATTTCAACAGAACAAATTAATTAGCATTTACTGCACAAACAGTGTTTTAGCTGCATCGAGGTCGACAATTTTAACCGTGTTTGGAAACGCAGAGCAGTATGTGTGAGTTCAGAAGACACATAGTAAATCTGATCAGGCTTTGAAAGGAAGCCACTTCTGTTCTTCTGTTGATCTCATCCGTTTTTAGCTTGAAGCTCTCATTGCATCTGAGCCAAACCTCCCACGGTCATCTAACAGCCAGCTGCAGCAACATCTTTTACTTTTACTCCTAAATTACATATTATATACTTTAAAAAAGAAAAACACCTTTTGTGACTATGATGCCGCCAAGAAGGCAGCGTTAAATTTCAACTACATGTTGAATAAATACATGAGAACTGTTGTTACTGAGTAAAACAAAGCGCTAAACAGACGAGGTAGAGATATGATACAAGACAACCAGGTAACAAGATAACAAGGACAAGGTTTTTATTTATTGAGTTTGTGAATTCAACTTCAAATGGCTGTTTCCAATAATTAAAGTAGATATTAAATAGATTATCTGTTTATTCTGCATACTGAATAAAGATTTAGCATTTTTTATTGTACTTTTCCAGGTTCATATTTGACTTTGAAGACATTCATCAAACAACAATCTTCCAAAACATAATGCTTACACTATAATGATTTAATTAACAAACAATATACAAGTAGAATTACCAGGTTTACCTTTACCAACTTTATTAATTAATTATACATTTAAAGCATTGCTTTCACTTTTAAGTATATTTAGCTTGGACCACTTAAATGTTTACCGTGATAAGATTTAAATAGAAGACGTGTTTGATTTTTTTCCATGTGGTGTCGCTACTTGTTTGAGGTAAAGATCTGAGTATTTCCAACCTCGTTGAACTGACCACCGGCGATAGGATGAGTAGCAGGCGGAGGAAGAAGGCGGGGTGGGATGGGTAGGATGGATTGGATGGGATGGGTGGGTAGGATGGATGGATGGGATGGGATGGATGGATGGGATGGGATGGGTGGGACTGTCTTGCTGACGGCAACAGTCGTGACGCGCTATTCCACACGCATGTGCTGACACAAACTGACTATGGATTTTTACTCTTATCAACCCTAATTTCAATTACATTTCTCATCAGGCCGCGTTAATTCTCCAGGCTGAGGTTGTTGTTTTTGTCACCTCCTCGTGCGCCCTGATTTGTGAAGGAAACACCTGTAAAACTGCTCCGCTAGCAGCAGTGAGACACACTCACTGACACACACACACACATGCTCGCAAAACACACCCACACAGAGTCAGATATTCCCGGCAAGTATCCTTCAAGGACGCCAGGGGAAGACTTGGAGGACAAAATCACACACTCCCTCTCCCAGTGTCTCAGACGCGCTGCGCTTCTGATGCAAGCGGAAAGCTGCCTCATTCCCGCATTGACACACACTTACACACACACACACACACCCTAAAAGGCCCTTCCACCTCCCCGTCCATATGAGAAAAGCAGGACAATTCCGCTCTGTTGTTGCTACCTCCTGCTCTCAGCTGTTTCAAGCTGTTGTTTGTGTGTGTGTGTGTGCGTGCGTGTGTGTGTGTGTGTGTGTGTTTGTGATGAGGAGGGGGGTCTCGCTGGGACTCTTTGACAACCTCATTCACTCCCTTCTTCTCCCCCTCGGCCACAGCGTAGCCGACATGCCCAACAATGAGGCGGGAGGGTGGGAGTTGGACGAAAAAAAAAAAAAAACCACTGAATGCGTCTTCATTTGCCTGAACTTTTCACACGTCTTTTTCCCTTTTGTTGCCGGACGCCAGTTCACCGCCGTGCCGCGAGCCGCTCGGCCTGTTTCCGCTGGCAAGACAGCCAACCAAAAGCAGCACCCCCCCCCCCTTTCTTTGTCACCCCTCTCCACAATGTTAAGCCCATTTCTAGCTTGACATAATCTGAGATGGTACTTAAGTGAATTTATGTCTACCTCAGTGCATTAACTTCTGCTATTTCCTCCCTTATGTCGCTTTTTTGGTACGGGGTGCAGCGACTGGAGGGAGCGAGAGAGAGGGAGGGAGGGAGAGATTTGAACCTCAGCCCACGGAGTAGACAGCCTATCAGTATTCAGTAGAGAAAGTGAGTGATGGAGGGAGAGAGAGAGAGAGACGGGGAGAGAAAGGAGGGGGGGGGGGTGATGTATCAATATTCTGAGTAGTGTTTGAGGGCAAGGGGAACGAACAGAGGAGAGGGGGGAGGGAGGGAGGGAGATTGGTGGGAGAGAGAGTACTTGAGAGAGTCTCTGAGTGTGATTATTTGTTCACATATACGCTGTGTATGTGTGTGTGTGTGTGTGTGTGTGTGTGTGTCTGTGCTTGTATGTGTGGTTGTGGCTCTGAGCACATGTTGACTACATAGGTTGTATATACAGTCAGTGGTGTAAGTAAAAACGTTCACTCCAGCGCGGTTACTTGCGTGTTTCCATTCATATATTCATACGGCCCTTTATAGACCACGTCACAGTGTGACCGCAGAGTAATTCAAACAGTTATTAGCAGAACCCACCTTAAATATGATCATTTATGTGACACTGTTACCCTCCTTCGCTATGAGAGGTCGACGTGTTTTTAATGTTTTTAATAAGTAAAGGAGCCGCTCTGAAGATTTGGCTTCGCCTGAATGAAGTCATTTTCAAAATGGTCCAAATGATCCAATTTTGCCTCGTATGTTCAAAGAGGACCAACCGGGCTTCATTTAAGACTTCGACTCGTGCATTTAGATTAATAAATGCTTCAGGTATGTTTGCAACAAGCGGTGGGAGGTTTTGTGATCACATCAAAAATCTGCATGTGGGCCCCGTTTCCAAAAAGCATCAGAGATCCTACAGACAGGAATATATTGTGTGAGCTTTAAATGTGGCCTTTGGAGCAAGGGTCTTCATTCAGTGTCATACAGCACAATGCATCGTGTGTATCTGGTATCTCAGACAAATGTTCCGAAACTCCCCCCCCCCCCCCGTAAAAAGCAGGAAAAGAATCCAGCTGTTTACGTAAGTGTTGTTGTTCTGTGCCTTCGGTGCCTCGGTGATGCGCATCCCCGCACGCTGCTCACACCTGTAGATTAGAAGAATACGCGCAGCCGTACCATCGGCAGGACTGTGTACCGTGCACGTACGAGACAAAGCGAGCGCTGGTATAAAAAGAAGGCTGTGTGGCGCCGTAGAGGTCAACGACTCCACAGGGGACCCTTGAGGTGCTTTTGATCAAACGGAGCATGTTTTTGTAAATCTACTGAACGGTGTTGGTTGTGGATCCCGGCGGCACGTTTTGAGCAGCAACAGACAAATATGTCTCGTGTTTTCACAGCCAATCAGGCTGATTACTGAAATAATGATTTAATCTTGGGGTACGCTGACGTTGTGGCACATTATGGATGGATTAAGTCCATCAAGTGTACGACTATGACACAAAACCCCCACATTGACATCCTGTTTCGTTACTGGTTGCCAACATTGTTTTTGTTCTTCACATCTCTATAAATCCTTTCCAAACCAAGTAGCTGTTGTCCCTAAATCCTTAACAATAGTCGGAGCACCGTTGGCGGATCTGGACGAGTCTCACTGTATCGCAAACAGTGGATTTTTAAAATTTCATTCGTCGAACTTGTTTGACAAAAATACGATACACAAAATGTCAAACATAAACTTTCCATGATTTAAAGCTGGTTTTTGATTAAGCGTAAATCTCAAGTAAGTCATTTATGTCGACACAATGTCCTCCTGAGTGTGTGTGTGTGTGTGTGTGTGTGGGACAGGAGTCACAGTTTACAATACGTGTGGATGTGATGGAATCTCCCACTTGTTTCAGTCATCCCTTCTCTCTCAGCCGCTCTCTCCCTCACTCTGACTGCTAATCAGCATTTGAAAGGCAGCTTTGACAGTGAGAAAGAAAGTGAGAGGGGGGTAAGGGAGGGTGGAGGGAGGGGGGCTCGCAAAGGGAGGTGGGGTAAACGAAAGCATGAGACACAGCGAGTTTAGGGAGCGAGAGCCAGCGAGACTTAGGAGAGGGGCTGTACAAGCATGCCTTTTATATTTACTAGTGACTGAGAGAGAGAGAGGGGGAGAGAGAGAGAGAGAGAGAGGGGGGGAGAGAGAGGGAGCAGCTGAAGGCAGAGACAACTGGTGTGCACGTTTTCCCAAGAGGAAATGAAAAGAAAGAAGCTGAGCGAGGAGAGTGAATGAGTGAGCGCGAGAGAGGAAGGGTGGGAGGGAGCATGCCGGCTGGAGAGAGAGAGAGAGAGGGAGAGAGAGAGAGAGGGAGGGAGGGAGAGAGAGAGAGCGAAGAAGAGATTCTCACACTGGCTGTGTCCTAATCCGAGTCCATCTCCAAGAAGCAGCGGAGCAGAGTGTTGGTGAAGTGAGTCTGAGAGCCAAGGAGAGCGGCATCCGCTAGCTCCATTCTCACACACACACACACTCTCTTCCTCGCACACGCAAACACACACACACACGCACACGCGCACACACACACCTTTGCAACGGGAGTCCACGATGTGTCCGGCTGCACGGCCACGGCTTTTGTGAAAGTGAGGGGATTGACGCTCGCCCCATCCCGGGCCCCTCGGCTCACACACACAGTGTTTGTTTGCTGTGTTTAAGCTCAAGGTGCCGGTGGAGGTGGTGTGGTGGGGGGCCACCGGCGGGGCAGGGCAGGGGCTCCGGAGCGGAGGAGGAGGAGGAGGAGGAGGAGGAGAAGAAGAAAAGGAAGAGGAGGAGGGAGACAAAGTGGATCCGATCAACAGCAGCCGACGGAACGCAGGAAATGCCCGTCAGGTGAGTAGATAATGGATCTAACAACTTACGGCCAACACGCACACGCGTGTGTGTGTGCTCACTCTTCTTGCTTTCTCGCTCCATTTTTTTTCCTCACACACATAGTGGACGCTCACGTTTGTATGCACGGTTACAAAGTTGATGCCTTTTTTTGTTTTTGCTGTTGTCAAGCTATTGTTTTATTGTTGTTTTTTAGACAGTTTGATTGTAACTGGTTCAATTTACTCATAATCGGATGTAGAAATATCAGCAAGTCTGCAGCAGTGAGAACTTTTTGCTCTCCAATTCAGGACAGAACAGGAATAATACGCATTTATCCCTTATTGTACTAAATTGATGTATTACAAATAAGCAGAAAGTCAGTGATTTTTATTGAATAGATTGACAAATGACAAAGAAACCTTTAAAGGAAAAATGAGTTTTGTTTTTAAATGGACTTTTCCTCTAATAACAGGGCTCCGTTTTAAGGCTTTGTGACAGCGTTTTTGAATGTTAATTTGATTTTGATTATTACTTTAAGCGTATAGATTGAGTATGTATTATAAATTATTATTCATGCGTCTTTTGCTCTTTCCTGAAAGCACCATTATTGCTTTCACGTGGAGCTCTTAAAAATTCATTTTCATTGCCAATATCCAATGTTTGCTTCACAGATAAGACAAATAATTATGCATGTTTATTTTCTGTGCCTTAGAGCAATAGTAACGGCCAAACACTTTGTGATAAATTGTGCGTGCATGTGTGGTGGAGTTTGAAATACTGAGGTAGAGAGAGAGCGTGTTTGCGTGTCCGTCTCCACCTGCAGAGGCAGAATTGGTCACAGTTTACTGGCTTGGTAACATTTGGTGCCTTCGGGGGTGTTTGCAGCAGGTGGTCCAAATTGGCAGAGTGACTGTGACAAACGCACAATGTTCACTGCTGCTGTAAAGTAAATAACAACATAAAACCGTCACATGGGGATTTCAGTTCTCCACGTTTGTTTTTTTTTCTCAGTATTTTCAGCGATTGCGCTTGTCGGCTTATTGCTTGAAATAAAAGTCAGAGTAGTTATTTCACAAAGGTCAAACGTGTTTGAATGCACTGCCTGTCTGCAGACGCAAAGGTGTTTATATCTCCTTTAAACATCTGTTTCCATATGTAGATTTTTGTGTTTCACACCACCGAGGATGTTTTTCTAGAATCTGTGCTATGAATTTTGCTGTGTTTCCCAAACCGGCGGCAGCATCATTAACACGCACGCACGCACGCACACACACACACACACACACACGAACACACACACACCTGCCAACATAGCTGGCGCACCAGATAAATTCAAGCCAAATAACTACTTGCAGTGAACAGAGTTGCTCGTTCCGGTGTCAAAGTGTAGTGAAAAAAGGTTGCTGTACATACTTTTTTGTAATCCAGCAATTTTTACCAACTTACTAAAAAACACGTTATTGAAATCCGTTTGCTCCTTTTCCCAAAATGTCTACATTACTACTTTACCCAATGGAGATCAAACACAGCTGCAACGCAGCAGCGCTGACACGACGACGAGGTCAGACCGAGTCACCGCGAGTCCACGGGACAGTTTATACCCACTGAGCCCACTGAGCCCACTGAGCCTCTCCACCCGACTCCGTTCTCGCATGTGCAGGGTGCTTTGGTCGTGACCCGGGTTCAGACGTCTTTTTATTGGACCCAGACGTTTCTTCTTTGGCTTTTGGCTCTTGGAAAAGCTGCGGTTCATGCCTGCATGCGACCGAGCGACAGCCCCTTTCGCTTTGTGAAAGTAAGAACGTCGGAGACAAAGTGTCCCGTTTGAAGACCGCGAATGAAAGGAAGTTGAAGTGAATGTACAGTAATAAAATGTAGTTGTTCTGTGAGCAGGAAGACACTTTTATTTCACTGGCCATCAAAGACGAGCGCTGGTGCGTGTTTGTGATTATGCCGTGGGGTTAACATCTGGTTTTCGGTTTGGTTTTATTTTGTATGAATAATGATTACACGAGGGGATGGCTTCATATCAGCTGTATAAAGAAGCATTTCGGTTGGCAGACGAAAGCAGGCAGTCGCTTTCGGTGACGAGTTATCCGCAAAGACACTTTCCTGCTCGCCCGCTTGCTCTTTCTTTACCTCTCTTGATATTTTTGTCTCTCTCTGTTGCTCTCTTACACACACTAAGGTGGTCGGTGTCGGATGTGTTGACAGACAGCCGCTCACACACGTCTTGCTCTCGCCGTGTGTGTGTGTGTGTGTGTGTGTGTGTGTGTGTGTGTGTGTGTGTGTGTGTGTGTGTGTGTGTGTGGTGCGTTGACAGACAGTGTGTGGGTCTGTGACAGAGGGTGTCAGTGCGGTGTCAGGGAGATGTGTTTAGTGTCACACTCTGCTGACCTGATCTCCGGTCGGACTGTCCACTCCGGCCCCGCTGTGGCTCCTTACATAACCCCCGCTGTCATTCACACGTCGGCCTGAAGGGATCCACCAGGCTACGTGCACACACACACACGTACAGTTACGTGCACACGATGTGTAGTTGTGCACAGTCAAAGTCACATTCCCTCTAAAATCAAACGTCCGATCAGTTGCCGAACTCTCAAGTCTTTCTTCTTGTTTTTTTTAATTAAAACCGTGAAATTAATTAACAACACATCTGGAAATATTCAGAGTGTAATAAGTGTGAGGCATCAGTGTGTGTGTGTGTGAATGAGGCCAGTGGGTGCCTGGTTTGTGCTCCACGACACCTACACAACTTGTGCAGCTCTTATCAACAGTTTGACTGTGTTCTGAACTCTGACATTTGCACCGTGCTAATTGATGTGTCCACATTAGCATGCGGACGTCTCTGTGCTGGCGTGCAGCGCGAAAGTCCTGCTGTTCGGGAGACACGCGGATGTGTGTTAGTGCCGGAGTGAGTGTGTGACCCTGTGTGCGGTTCTTTGGCCTGTGGAGGTCAGCGCTGATGTGGTCTCCGCCTGCGGGAGTGAATTTACCATCCTCTGCCTTACAGGACCGGCATCCGCTTCCAGAAGACGGAGACGTTTGCTTCTACCGGTTTTCTGTTTGTTCACCGATCATTTCGGGAACAATATATATGAAGATTAAGAGTATTCTACTCATGATCAGAATTCCTTTAATTGAAGTGCTCAAAAAGGGAAACTTTTATTTCCATTTCATGTAAGTCCTGCTTTAGGAACTTCAGCTTACGCTGAGGTTCGGGGTATTTAACCCAAGAAATGATTGCTGCTACTATTTTGATCCGGGAATTTTTCTTTTAAGCTGACATGATAAAGGTTATGAATATGTCATATTATGATGGACTAAATATTTTAACTTTAGTTCTCACGATTAGTGCTTCTCTTTATGCTGATAGAGGCTGATACAGGGTTAATGCATTTTAAGATTTAAAAATGAGTAGATTCACATGAATCACATATACATTTCACATACTGTTTGTCACAACATGGTACGCCTTTAAAGTCTTGCACTCTTTCTTTAAACGCATGTTGTTGGCAGCTTATGGGATAAACGCTGCACCCTTCAAAGTCTTTTTATTCAATATTGGGCGAGTAATCACATCCAGTGTATTTCCAAAAAAAATCCATGGAGAGCAATCTTGAGAGTTTTTTCTCTGTAAATATATGGGATTCTGTACGCCGATACTTTCAACCTCATATTTTATACATCGCAGGTGAAGTGGAGCATTTCATCATGTGTACTCAGGCAAAGGGAGATGGTAATTATGACAGGCATGGATTGGATTCTGCGTAGCTCGGCGCCCGTGAGGAGCGGACATCAAAGCAACGCTCACCAAAGCCCTCTGTAATAAAATAGGAGGAGGATAAAGATATTGATTACCAGGGGTGAAACATTAGCAAATCTCTTTCTCTCTCCTTTTTTCATCTGTCTTTATCCGTCCATCATTCCTCTCTCTTTCGCTCTCCCTTTGCCATCAGAAATACGTCGCTGCGCATCAACTTCTGCTCTCTCCCTCCCCCATCCGCCCTCCGTCCTCCCCCGTCTCTCCCTCTCTAATCATTTATTTATCGCTGATCTCTTTATTCTTTATTCTTCCAGTTTAGGGAAGGTCCACACTGTGACTGTATGATGCTCGTTTGCACACACACAGGCAGTTATCGCCATTCCTTTACACCCCTCCCCAACCCTCATCATGGCGAAGGTACCTGGGGGCGGGCGGGGTCACTCTGGTCCAATCTACCGCTGTATTGATTCCATTAGATAATTAATGACCCAGGCCGGGGCCATACAGGAGCAAAGAGGGGTTAAAAGAGATGGTTGGCATATGCGTCGGCGCGGGGTTGTAGAATTAAGAGAATGGAAAGTTAAATGAGATAGGGGTTGAAAGAGATGGGGGGACGCAGCGGCCCTTGAGAGTTGGAGAGAACCTTGGGTTGGGAATGATCCAGAGTTGCCAAGGTCAACCGCAGCCCGGCGCCCCGATACGGAAGCAGAATGCCGAGCGAGTCAGAATATGCAATACTGATGGGGTGGGGGGGGATTTTCATGTCCAGCAGCTGTCGATTGATCAGCGGCTGAAAAATTGTACATTAAAAAGTCTTTTGACTTCCAAATCCTGAGGTCCAACCAGGGCCGTAATGCATGATAAGTAGTTTTCAGCCCTCCAACCAGAATACCAAACTTCATCTCCCCGGACGCTCCAGACACTCATTTACAACTACTCAACAACATGAAAGGCAAGATAGAAAACTAGCTACATCAAATATTCTGTTCATGTTATTTCCAACCGTGTTTTCTACATCTTCCATGATATTGAACGTTCGCTGTAAAATATTATTCACAGTCGTACGTGTGCTTGACTTTTAGCTTTAGATGGAGTAAAGATGGGGGAGCTGCTTAAAATGGTCATCACTGGGATTTTTATTTGTGAAACACTGAATCGCTGCCTGCTGTACATAGTTTTTATGTGAGGTGGAAACTGATGGCAGATTTATTAATGTTCTTTTTCATGCCAGAACTAAAGCAGCGTTTTTTTTTACAATATTGCAATTATTAAATGAAAGCACTGCTTAGAGGCACAAAGCAAATGATGACAAGGTCATTCTGTGGAATTTATCCAGGTCTCAAGAAAGGGATTTTTCCTTGTATATGTAATGTAGTGTTTTTAATTAATGGGAGAGGAGATTTTCTAAAATGTAGTACGTAGGCAAGGAAACGTAGGCAATCTGTTTTTTGTTTTTCACCTACTTAACTGAAAGGAGAATATATATTCCTGAATAAAAAAGCATAACTGGAACCAACGCTCCCCACAGTTGCAAAGCCTTGGTCCTCCTGCACGATCGCAGTGTGCCCGTTGTCTCCAGCGGGCTACGACGGCTCCTCTGCCTCCACGTTGTCAGTGTCGGCCAGCCTGTGTATCGGCCCCCAGGGGTTGGGGAGATGAGGCATAAAACAACCATATCTCTACCTAGGGGAGCCGGTGGCATGGCGGTGGGGCTATTGTCTGTCTGCGTGCTGTTTGACTTAAATGTGTTCATTTGCCTGACGCCCCTGACTCCCTACGGGGGAGGGGCAGCCCTGGGAGAGGAGGGGCACGCTAACGAACCTCTGACAGCTGGAGGCCCTAATTAAACGTCCCCGCTGAAAATAAACAGAGCGGGCGCCAAGCGAGCAGCCAGACACACACACACACACACACACACATACACACAAAAAAAAAAAACGCACGGCAAACAACGGCTGTGAGCGCTCGCCGCAGTGCCCTCCGCTCTGTTACCGCCGAGGCCGTGCCAAGAGAGCACGGCACTCCATAGGGTGGTGGTGGTGGGGGGGGGGGGTCTTAAACCCACACGTGCACACCACAGTTATGAATATGTAGCGCTGCAGCAACATATTGCAAACACAGGTTGATCGCCGCGGCACATTTTCACCCTCAGTGCTCTCAGAAGTCGCACTTTCTATATATTCGCTACTGTGCCATCGCAGAAAAAAGGCAACTCAGCCCTATTGAGTGGATTGTTTCCCACTCTGTCTAGATGACACCGCTGACATTCAGCCTGCTGTGCTGCTAGCTAGCCGGGGCATTAGCAGTCAAAGTGGCAGGGTCCATTTGGGTGAGTGCATTAATGGGCCGCCCAACCTGCGACAAGGTTATGAGGTTGATTGAATAATTACTGTGGAGCCCCCTGTCCATTACGCCTCTGTGTCTGCCCTGATAGAGAACGACGCAGAGAGAGATGGAGCGATAGTTTGAGACGGAAAGATGGAGGGAGAGATTAGATAAGCACAGATAGGGTCAATTAAGAGATAAACATTCAGGTATGGGATGGAAAAAGGCATGTGCATGTGTGTGTTTGGCCAGGGGGGGGAAAATACAAGAGTCAATTGTTTCCCGCCCGCATCTCCTTTAGATTCCTCCGACCTACTGTACGCCACTTAATGTGGCATGTAGTCGATTTATCCAGGTCAGATAGGGAAGGTGACAAAGGGGAAGTTGTTAGACAGAGGTGAGCAGCCCTCTCCTCGACCTTCTCATCGTCTCTTCACCGGAATCCCTGAAGAATGGCAGTGTTGCTGAGGACAAAATACAGGTGTCTCATCGATGAATCAACATAGACACACTCTTTGTCTTGGACAAAGAATTCTGTGAATGTAAGGGCACTTGGATCTGAAACTGTAATGTCATTAAGCAAAGTGTCTTACTGACTTAAATGCACCTCGTATGTCATTAGGTTTTGAAGTTCATTTTTCGGAATCCCATGTTATACAAGTTTGAAAGAGCTATCAACGACCTGGCATGTGTCAGTACCCATTTAACACACATTTCCAACAGTAGAAACTCGTATTAGTCACATGTTAGTAATCCTGCACTGATGTGTTAATAAAATACTTGGTTGAGATACCGTGTGCAATATCATATGGGATCCATCTACTTAGCGTGGATTATTAAGGGATGCAGATGTTGGCATTCATGTGTTGCCGTCGCTGTGAATCACAGACTCGCTGCACAGCTGGAGACGTGCTGTTTAGTGAGCATTGAGGACCTGCATGCGGAGCAAACGTTGCTCCTTTCCACTCAGGCCAATCTTTCTAACTCTGCCCTCGGACCACTTAGCAATGGCAGCCATACACTTTCGCTTTGTTACCGCCGTCTAAAACTACAAAAGGTAATTGAATGTCCACTTTCAGCAGCTATTCTGTCTGTGTTCAACACCTTACGGTCTTTGCTGCCTTTGAAATGGATCCGAGGACGTCTCATGCATAGATTTGATGTTGGCTGTTTCAGCCCCGATTTGTGAAATGATATCTGCCAAACCTGCCTGGCTTCCGCTGACCCCTCTTAGCCAAGGTCAGCGTAGCCATGCTCCGACTCGAGACAAAATCCATTTTCTACTGCCAAGGCAAAGCTCTACCGACTTGATTGTGCTGACCCAGCCGGGCCAAAGAAGAAGAAGAGAGTTTGAGAGCGAGAGGCAGTAAGGGAGAGGGAGAGGGCATCTCGGGCCCAAGGGCACGACACCGAGGTGCTTGGGGCCACACAAGCCCTTTAAATGTCAACGCAGCACGGAGGGGAGGGAGCGAGGGGAGAGACACGGGGTGAGGAGCGGCGGCATATTGGCGACTTTGGCTTCCACTGCACGAGGGCGGTGTTGTGGTAGCAGGCGGCATTAGAAGTGGAGGCATCGGCGGTGGGCAGCATGTGCTTCATCTGTGGAGGCGTCAGGTCGGAACAATCTCCCGGGGACGACGGGAGACATTTAATCTGTGATTTTTCCGTTTAATTGTGACCTCAAAGGCTCTGTGTTTTGTCTTATGTCTATTACCTGAGGGAACGGTCTCTGACCTTTCTGTGAGGAAGTACAGTACCTAATTGCTCCCTCTCAACCTCACACCCTTCTTTCTTATTTCTTATTTTTTGTGTCTTTCTCTCTTTCTATGATGGATGAAGTAAGAATGGGATTCCATCAATGCATTTTCATGCAAATTGTAATCTTGCAAATTGAAACGTCTGAATGGAAACTGCAAATGGAGATGTTGTATCATCATTTTTCTTTCAAGGCTTTGTGCTCACACCAAGCTCAAAAAATATTTAGTTTAAAAATATATAATAATAATAATAACTTAGTGTGATGAAAACACGTTTCAACGGCTCCCTAAAGCGTGTTTAATTTGAGATCCCCCCAAAAAGTTACTATCCCCATTAAATGTTTAGGTAGGTCTATTTCATGGTCAATATTGGTTGACTGTACTTCTACTCATGCCCCTCGTCTGCTGTCTCTCGTGGATCCCCAGGTCTGAGTCTGTCACACCCTCGACCAATCGGAGCCTTCGTTAACGGCGGCGGCGGCGCGTGATTGGGAGGAAGGATGGCGACCATGCCGTTTGTCAGCGAGGGGAAGTGTGTAAGTGTGGAGTGGGATTTCCTACAAGGACTACTGGCCAAGCCCCCCACCCTTCCCTGGTGAGACACATACACACACACACACACTAACAGCTAATACTGTATAAGCCTGCGTGCGTGCCCATGAATTTATCTGTGCAAGGTGAAATCCATACATTAACAACCTTGCACACACCGGCAGCCTGGGGAAGAGTTTCCTATCAATGAAACGCAATCCAGAAGCCATAAGTCTGATCTGTTCAGTCCTACATACATAACCTGCATTGTTACCCACCTGTCAATCCTGTCAGAGCGGTGAATGCCCTCCCCTTAGTGGGAGATTAAGTAAATTTGGCCGGAATTATTAATGGGCAGTCATTTAAAGGCGGATATAAAAACTAAGCAGAATCAATGTGTGCGTATTGATTGTTCTCGGTGGCCGGGGTCGAGGCAGTATAATAATGAGATGTTACAGAGGGCTGGCGGCCATGAATCCACACACACACACACACACACGGACAGACACACACAGAAACAAACACTGTTTTCACTTACATGAGGATCGCGGGGAGAAATACGACAATTCGATGATTAAGATATAAACATATGTACGCACGCAATACGCAGCCCTTTTCTTTTATCCGTTCCTTCTTTCGCTCACACAGACACACACACACACACACACAGACACACACACTCCATGTGTGGTCGTTCTTAGGATGAGAATCAACAATACAGACACAAGGGAGATTCTGGTTCTTCTTTCGCTTTTAGCGCTCTGTCTCTCTCACACACACACACACACACACACACACACACACACACACACACTTTATCCCAGCGCAGGACCGACACAAATTGTGAAGTGGCTGTGACAACATAATTCCACCACTCAGGCCCCATTGAGGAGAGTCAATACCCAATCAGAGAGACAGGCTACCTGAGCCACGGCCCCCCCCCTCCGTCACTCCGCCCCTCCCTCTCCTATTGATCCCTCAATCACGGCTGCAGCTCGCTGGCCCGGGACTAGATGAGAGAGAAGGAGAGAAGCAGGGGTTGAAAGGAGGAAAAGTGAGAGATTTAAACGAGAGATTGTGTGTGTGTGTGTGTGTGTGTGTGTGTGTGTGTGTGTGTGTGTGTGTGTGTGTGTGTGTGTGTGTGTGTGTGTGTGTGTGTGTGTGTGTGTGTGTGTGTGTGTGGTGTGTGTGTGTGTTCACAGATAGATTGTGGAGCAAATGGCATTATTAGGACTCTGCTCTCCCAGATAGAAGACAGGAGTTCCCCTGTAATTACCAGACGTCTGCAAGCGACGGGTCAGACGGGCGATTGTTTTACTCAAATTGCAGCATCGCGTGGACTGTGTTTATGAAATTACGCTTCTAGATTTCGGCTCAGGTCATTTGTAAAGAGCGTGAATCAATCAACAGATGGTCAGTGAATGTCCATTATATGACACCCTTCACCTGCCCCCCCCCCCCCCCCCCCCCCGACACACTGATGAGCTGGATTCCATTAATGCGCCTTACCCTTGTTCACCCCTCAGTCTCCAGAACCTGCGTAAAGAGAAATCTCGCAATGCTGCCCGTTCACGGCGGGGGAAGGAGAACTTTGAGTTCTTTGAGCTGGCCAAGATGCTGCCTCTGCCCGGAGCCATCACCAGCCAGCTGGACAAGGCCTCGGTCATCCGGCTGACCATCAGCTACCTGCACATGCGCACTTTTGCCAGCCAGGGAGACCCGCCCTGGAGTCCTCTGATGGAGGGAGACAGCAACTGCAGAAAAGGTGAGAAAAGTGAATAAATACTGTTACGCAAAGTTGTTTGGTCCGCTAAAGTTCACTGTACAGTAAATATAGTCTTATTGCATTTGTAATATTGTGTTTTTAGAACCACAGTGAGGATTTATCATATCCTAAATCTTTCACAAATGCTCGCCTTGCCTCATTAGCACAGTTTTGACCGCTGGACCATTAGTGTTTTATCGCCCGAAACAGTTCATTTACCAACTGAATGTTAACTTTAAGGTGGCTAACCACGAACGCGTTGACCGCATCTGACCGAGTGTGCCTGCATGTTTGTGTTCGGCTCAGCCTCTTACGGCCCAAATCTCTGCTTCTCCAGACTTTATCCTTTCTCATCTTGTCTCTGTACATTTAGGAAATATATATAAAGCATTGTGATACACTGCAGGTTTTCCCTGGAGTTACAACTACTTGCACAGACTTGTCTTTGCATCAAGTAATTGCTTACCAATGACTCTGCATGCAAAATGCACCACTCCATATGTTTGATTTGCATTCTGTCTGAACAGCCATTGAGGAGGAAACACAGTTATAGCTACTAGTGAAGACACTGAGGTCATATCCTCGTTACTCCCTCTGACAATCTGCATGTTGGGTAATTATATTCCATGCGATGAATAATTGCATAAAATATAAAAATTCATATAAAAGGCCCTTTATTGTCTTCTCAAGCTTACCTTGGGTTGGTTGAGACATGGACTCCTGCCCCTTTAGGAAATATTTTGTATAACTATAAATATTTAAACTTCTCATGGATTTTGACAATTACAGCGTGCAAGTATGCAGAGGGAAATAAAACCTGGTTGAAGGGTCATTTCTAGACTAAGGAAGCATGTAACACAAATGACACAGAAGATATAGTCTGCTGATGTTTGTTGTCAATGGACAGAAACCTCTGAAAGTCACTTTTCCATCTCTCATATTTCTTCCTATCAAAAGTAATCCTCAGCTGCGAGATCCAAACTCATTTACTACTGGGCCCCAAACTCTACGGGTGGCCGTAATTACTTGTGCTGTTTGTGTAAGACCCACCGTTCACTTCACTCTGAGGCTTGTAAACATACATGTAATAATAAAGACATCCATAGGCTGGTGTGAGTTTGAATGTGTGGGGAATAGATGTTACAGAGAGAGGGAGGAAACTATTGGTGTGATTTGTAATTACAGAAATTAACTATATAACGAGGACAGTATAATTATACAGCCTGTCTAATTGCTACTATTACTGAGGGGAAATGATGCAGCTACCGTACCATTAGAGGTGTGTGTGTTTGTGTGTGCGACTGAGTGTGTTCATGCCTGTTCTTGTGTAATTTGAGGAAATGTGAGCAAAAAACAGTCACAATAATAGCATGTTTGGTGTGACTTAGTGGGGCTGCTTTAGCACAATATGTACCATACATACCTGATAAGACACAATGGTCTTAATATTATAATAAGTCGGGCTGGGTATATATAGTGGTGCCAGTAAAATACCCGAAGTGGGAAGTGTGTTAAAAACTTGGGATATAGAGTTTGAAATACACTATTTACCAGCCAGGGATTCTCTAAAGAAAAGACACAATTGCTCTTAAATGGGAAATGTCAGTGTGACAGTGAGCCATCGTGCACAATACCAGGATCCTGAAACTCTATCAGGTAAATGTAAATGGAACAATCGTATTATTTACCTATTGACGTGACAAAATCTGTTTTCCGGCATCCATTGTCAATTGTTTTTGCATAGAATCGTTTTGTGCACATCGATTAAGTAAGGTACCTTTATTCTATATTAATGTTAGAAATGATACGACACTTAATGTATACTATAAGTAGGGTACATGGACCCGATACACAGAGTCTTGTAAAGCGTAACAGTAACCATTTCCAATTTTCCATGCTACATGCTATTTTCCAGGTATAGTTTTCCTCTTGTTTTCTCAATTGAGGTTCAATATCCAGCGATACGTAGATTATCTGAAATATCTCAACCAGAGATCTCATATTACATAACACTGACACGGTGAGCCCACTCTTTGCAGTGTCAGATCCATTGATAGCTAACCAGCCGTGCACCGCTGCAGAATCCCAGTGTCTGGCTGATATTCATGCACTACAACACACGGCCGTGGCCTCGACTGAGCTTTTGCGCGTAGTGAATTGTTTTGCGCTCGATGTTCGAGGCTTTTGTTTGGCCTTGATGTAAAAAACTAGAAATGTAGGTGCGCAGGTAGCCGTGCTGTCCTGTGCATGAACTGGAAGTGTGTTAGACAAATGGGAGTTACGCTGCTTACACCACAATGAGAACGCTTCTCCTACGAATGTGAACTATAACTGTAAACATATAGAATCCTGCAGCAGCCATGCGAAGGTCATATAAAATTGCCAGGCACTGGAAAAAACACAATGAATCGCATGCCGGGTACAAACTGCATTACATTCTGAATTATCCTGAACAATCCTTCCACCTGGTTGGGATATTTTATTAAATGTTGGTGAGATTTTTCCAAGCCAAGTCCCACAGTCTCAGTGGGGCCGCGGCTGAAAATGTGATGGTAATTTGGACATCAGGTTGAACAAGTCTACCCACAATGCATTGGCAGGGTTTTAAGTGTGATGCATGACTTTAATTCCGTTAGTGGAATGTGGTCAGAGATCCAGCTGAAAGGGAGAGGAGGACAGCGAGTAGGGGAGGGGACAAATGTATAGAAGGAATAAAGAGAGAAAGAGGAGAGGAGTGTGCAGAGAGAGGGGGCACGGGGTGGGTGCGTTGCATTCCTACACTCTCCCTCTGGTCCGAGGGCTTTTGGACGTGCGAGGGCCGAGCACAGAGGAAGGTGGAGGCGAGGGGAGGGGCCGATGTGGCTTTTGTCTGCTTCCCACGTTTCAAAGCCAGTCTTGAAAAATGAATAGACAGAGGAAAATCAATTGCATGACCTTCACAGAGAGAACGAGAGAGAGAGAGAGATTGAGAGACCAGGAGAGGGTGAGGGGGGGGTGGGGGGGGGGGAGAAGAAGGAGGAGAGAGACCGATTATGGAAGAAGGGAGCAAACGAAAAGGAAAGGCTGAAGGGAGGAAAAGTAAAATGACCCGTGATATTCATTCCCATTCAGTGCTTGTGTGTGTATGTGCTTCTGTTTGTGGATTTGTACCTTATTTGCACAGTGCTTAGAAGGACCTAAACCCCCCTTATGTTTTTGCAGTCATTTATTTTACAAAACATGTCTCTATTGAGCAAATTTTGCTTTGGGGTACCGCTTTCCCCCTGCCTTATTAAATAGGCTTTTGATAATATCACCACACTAACTGCAGGGCTCTAATTGAAACAAAATGTCCTAAATTCAAAATCTCAAACATGAATTAAAGTTGAGGGTCAGTATGATAGATGTTAAGGTTGAGATTTTTAGTCATAAAAAAATGTTTTGCCTTTGTTTTCATTTATAAATAACTGAGGTTTATGTGTGATTGTTTTACTTACACTCTGCCCCTTGGACCACGCCCAACCACTGAGGCACGCTCCCATTTCCACTGCATGAATCTTCCCTCCATCAATCTGTAGCAACTCAACCTTTTAACAGGTGCAATATGGCAACTGGAGAACCCCTCCGTCTTTTACAAGGTACAGTGCAACAACAATTCACTGCCAGCAACAGGCCCGGCCCAAGTGTTTTACTGTCTCTGTTAGTGAGGTCAAACACACCTCTCTCCTCCCCAGCGTTGGTGACATTGACTTTCATTCCACCTCCACTTGTTCTGTCTCTTTCTCTCCTGCTTTCTTTCATTGCCTCTTGTTCCCCTTTCGGTCCCCACCCACCTCCATGCGTTCTCCCCGCATCTGCCTCGCCTCTAATTCACGGCGTTTAAAGCAGCCGGGGCTTTTAAGAGAAGTTAATTGCACTCAAATTATGTTCGACCGCAAAAGGAGTGAGGGAGAGATGGAGAGATAGAGGAGAGAAGGAGGGAGGGATGGATGTCAGAGTGAGAAGATAATTGCGCCGGAGAGGGACGCCGCGATTAGGGTCACTCTTTCTCCCCCCCGCCTGTGGAGCCGCCGAAACATCACATTTGGATGGTCGTAAACAACTTGGCAGGTGATCAGGCTCTTGTTTTGAAAGGGTGAAACTGCGGCAGCAGAGCCAAACTTGAGCGACAAAGACGGATAAGAAGACAGGTGGGGGGGGAGCTACATCGGAGGAAAAAAAGGGGTTCACTGCATCTGTTATCTGTTCGGTTCCCATGGTAACGTCCTAACCTGGTTTAAAAGGTCGACACTTTGGGGGTGGAGAGAAGGACAGCGTGCATGTGTGTGATTATGTGCATACGTACGTCGATCTTTAGGTGTGTGTGCGCGTGTGCGGCCATTACTCGTGGACTTAACTGGGACTAAATTATGTATGAGACAGAGGTATAATGAAAATCATTCAAATTAAATTTCTATCTTTTCTTCTCATGGAGCGCTGGGGAGACCCCGAGAATTGACCTGCGAGTCAGACTATAATTAACGTGTCCGATCGTGGCCCGGCCCATTCTGTCTCCTATTCCCACAATGAAATTAAACCTTGCAGCAGTCCTGGGGAGCTAATGAAGCAGGAGTGTGACAGAAAGGAGCGATCAAAGACCTCGGGGTCCTGCATCCAGGTGTGGACACCGGCACAATCAAATGACATGCATGGGCAGAAGCAAAAGGACATTCGGATTAATGCATATTTACATTCATTATGTAAAAGGATAATTCCAATCACGGTGGGGGTTATTGTCTTGTTCTGTCCACTAGGTCTATGATAACATTGAAGTCACCAAAGCAGAATAAAGTGAATGCATAGAGCCCACATTGTGTAACCTCGTGTCTGGGGGTCATTGCACATGGCAACAATGCTCCGACACAGTGAGACGTCATCAGACAATCAGACAGGATGTAAACAACAGTTTGCCCTGATTACCTAAACTCAAAGTCTGTGCACCTGTAAAGTCGGTGACAAACGCGTTACTGCCCAGTAGTCACCAGTAAAGGGTACTTTCTTTTAATGTTGACACTTTCTATTGAATGTTGACACACATGATGTGTTTTGTAGGTTTTTGGTCCAAATTGGTTTGATGTCTGCGTGAAAAATGTACAACTGTGATCTAGTTCAGCTGCTGAACATTTTTAATAGTCTCCAAAAAATCCTATGGGCCTGTAAGTGGTCTTTTCAGCACCCAGCAGGTAATGGGGGTACTTTTTGCCATTTGCTCACATGACTATTAGATAAAAGTAATACATGATTTTTTAAGGTAATAACCCAAATCCCATTTCCGTATCCTTAGTTTCTGACGACAGGCTATCAAAGACGACACAAACATGTATATTAAGAATGCTCACTGAAATGCTCAACTCATCCCTCCAATTTTATGCAGTGATTTCTGCGTAAGAAACCAGTAGTTTCTTTTAAATGAAATTTGAAAGAGAACGTAAAGGGTAAAGTGGGACAGTTTTGGTAATTATGTTATTTGATGCCTTTGTTGTCTCTTCTAAATAAGTTGTCTACATTGAGTGTTATCATTACCTACATCTTTGCATGTATTTGCAGGTTCACCTCCATAACTACTTGGCTTTGCTCAAATCTGTTTGATCATCTGACTGCTCTCGTTTCCTGTTCAGTTTGACATCACATTCATGTTGCTGCATTCGCAGATCTCCTTAGTTAATTTTATGAGGACAATTTTGTGGACCTCGGACCAATGTTCTGTGGTACGCTGCGCTCAAAAATCTGTCAAAATGTTTTAGTACGACTTTGAAGCCGCTCTGCTCGACGAATAGTCGGAGCATTACGCTGGCAACGATAAACCAATCAGAGAACAGCACGCAGTACGTTCACCCCGGCTACTTTTTGTAATAGTACGTGCTGTGCTTCAACATAATATTTGTGTGTCTAAGGACCCCAAAAATAGCCCCTGTTAAGAGGCATGCTCACCAAGCAGATTTCAAACTCAAGGCTATCAGTCACGCAGGAGAACATGGGAATAGAGCAGCCGTGAAAGAATTCAACATTAACGAATCAATGGTACGGAAATGGAGGAAGCAAGAAGATGAACTGCGCATATCCTAAATATATATATATATATATATATATATATATATATATATATATATATATATATATATATATATAACATAAGTAAAGACGTGGGAACAAAGCGAGAACCAATGACCATTTTCTAACTGAATTTGAACATTGATTTATTTTTTACACTCTTAATCAATTTATAATTACACGCAGTTTCATAGAATTGATAATATTTGACAACAATCACAAATAAGTTATTCGCTAGATAAGTTATCGTGAGATACGAACACCGCTGCGAGACTCGCTCTCTTCACATGTGCACACGTTTGCGCATTCGTCCATACTCACACACACACACACACACACACACACACACACACACACACACACACACACACACACACACACACACCAGGTCCAGTGTTTTGGTTTCCTGGCTGCTCTAGTCTTCAATAAACGATCCTCTGTGTATTTGTGTTTGTGTGAGTGTGTGTTTGTGTGAGAGCGAGTGTGTAGACTCATCCGTCAGCCCTCCTGGCCTCATGTCACATGCAGCGTTTCCTTCGCCACGCTGACACTACTCAGCACTGCTGATCGCCCGCCGTCACCTTCACTCCTCCGGGGATCTCTGGCATGAAACTCCTGAGGCACGCTCGAATCTAACGTCACAGTGTGCGCGCGCGGGTTTCTGTGTGTGGGTCTGCGTGTGTCTACTTGAGTCATTCTCATATGGTCATGATGGGGGTTGCTTCGCTTTAGACTCCCCAGCGCTGCAGCTCCATCGCAGCCCCACAAGGGAGCCCGATAGGCAGGAAGAGAGCGAGATGGGCTCCCCATCCCCCTCCAGGCAGCCACTGGCGAGGCTGAAGGGTCCCAGCACCAGACCCCCTTTCATAGCCCTGAATGGACTTGCCTTATTTATATTCACACTCTGTCACACAGGGGGACCCCAATCTCACAATGCCACTGTGGCTTTGTCCAGCAACTCTGTATTTATGTGTGTGTGTGTGTGTGAGAGTTTGTGTGTGTGTGCGTGCGTGCGTATTTGTGTTTTTTAATCGGAGGGCATGTTGCCACTGTGTAGTCTGTGCATGAGAATTCATTGCTGTGTGTATTCTTGAAGTGTTTGTGTGTGTGTGTGTGTGTGCGTGTGTGTCTATAGCTCTAATGGAATGCCTCCATCCTCTATTCACCGATCCCACATCACAGACAGGCAGCTGTGCGATGTGTGTGTGTGTGTTCCAACCTTCCCTCTGTGTTCAGTTGTAACCCAGAGCAGCGCTTTCATTTTTCTGTCATAACGTGTATTGATTTCCCTCAGCCTTGCAGTGACACGCACACACACACACACACACAAATATCTGGTGATCCTTAAAGTCGTTCACACACATGCACACATTCATATGCTCTTGTACACACATTTCGCGTACACACACATAGTTTGTCTCTGCCGGATAAGGAACATTGTGTTCAAAAGCAGCCCTGTTGGGAGTGAGATTACTTCTCGCGTATGGTGCCTGCTTTTGCAATCATACACTTGCTGGTGCAAACACACACGCACACACGCACGCACGCACACACAGTCACCCACTCTTTTTGACATAAAACAGTAAATAGGACTGATTGCTAAATTAATCATCCACGTCACCGAAGCCCCTCGTGCCCAGGTTTGCCTGGGAGAAAGTGATCACTCTCGCCTTCCTTAGTGTTTTCTCATTTTCGCTGGCGTACCCTCTCTGCTCCTCTCGTACCTATCTTCACACCCCCTCCCCTACACAACCACCTCCAACTCTATTTGTATTGTAATTGCCTTGGTAAACAGCCCCACTTTGGCACTGAAGCAGCTCTGATAGCTTGTGTTTGGGATGCATTAGAGTGGCAATGCAGACACTGTGTGTGTGTGCGTGTGTGTGTGTGTGTGTGTGTGTGCGTTCCTTTGCGTGTCTGCAATTGAGTGGTTTGCATCACGTCGCACCCTCTCCTTATGCTCAGTTTTCCTTTGCAGCCGCTTCGGTGGATTCATCTGTTTATCAGACGTGATTTGTTCAAGTTTTGATTTTCATTTCAGTGCAGATTTAAATACTTCATGGAGTTGCCAACATTATTATGAGCCCCCACCGATGAGTCATATTTAAAGATTAGTTTGCATAATTACATGCCATATCTATAGTAACCCAATTAGAAAGTGGACTAACTGCCACGTTGAATAATATCACCTTACTGATCGCCGCAATGTCCACAGTTATGAATACTCAGCTTGTCTGCAGAAAAAAAGCCTCACGTTATACATTGATGTTCATGCTGCAATCTTCTTTTCCTTTCTACAAACTGGGGGGGATACAAACACATTACAAAAATGTTTTTGTATAACTGCAGACTGGTCTCTGCAGTGCAGTTTGGGGCAGTTTGACAGATATTGTCTCAAATCTGTACTTTTTATCTGATTGACTCTGAATATCTAAACATTCTCCTCGTAAGGACATTTTCTGATTACTGTCAAATCTACTTTCTCTCTGCAGTAAGACGATCGTCTCATTCTCTAGCCACTGACTTGTTTGAGCAGCACCTGGGGGCGCACCTCCTGCAGGTAAAGACCACCCTCCTCCTCTAATGATTATTACATCGTAACTACATGTGTGTGCACGATGTGTTTTGGATGTTTTCACTGTGGGCTTGTGAAAGTATTCTTCGTCATCTTGTGCGAACCATGATTCAAAAATGTCACATTGCCCTGTTGGTTTTTTTTTAAAGGATTTTCAAATGTTGTATTTGTCTTGAGAATAAGGATAACTTTTATGTTCCCAAACCATAAATCGACACATAATCCCTCCATTTATCTGAAAGGTTTCGAATCTATTATGGCTTTCTTTGGACAGCTACGCTCTAATGTTTATTCAGGGAAACCTTTGTTTTTCAGGATGGATCACAGGGTCAGTTTGATCCCGTATTTTCCTCGACAGAGAAGCACATTTGTTTAGTAATCGACCAGTGTTTAGGTGCCGCGTGCGATCACAGTTTGGACCAGCTCAAGTCTTCCCGTCCCAGTATCTCAAGACATACATACCCTCGCAAACTCACACACACACACACACACGCGCACACATGGACACCCACAAATCTTCAGATGCTCGGACGATATTGTCGGCTGCCAAAGAATGCCTCCGTTTGCACTGAGGGATGAATGGAGCCTGGGGGGGGATTCTGGGGCATGGGGGCTGCGGGGATGAAGGAAGTGCAGGATGCGTAGACAAAGACTCAGAGGAAGTGTGAAGAAGGTAACACTGCAGGTTTGGGAGGCTGAGAGAGGAGAGGTGGCCAAGCAGAGAAGACTAAAAGGAAAAACCAAACTAATCGTAATGCCTGTACGTCTGATGCAAAGGTCTCGGTTGTAACAGGCAGAGGGAAAACAAAGTGAGTAGAAGACGATAATTGAGGAGGTTGTGGTAAAACAAAGAAGCATTGCATATGTCTACTCTCCTCTGGCATTTTAAACAGGAAGGGAGGCTTAGGGAACGACGCTGATAGAAATCAAATTAACGCTCCAGAAAAACTGTATGATTCTTTACGCGTGCCCAGCCGTCCTCCCGCCGTAATAGCCTGATAATTGCA